CCTCTAAAGCCACCAGAGAATATTTGGAGTATATTCACACACAATAATAGCCATTGGATCAGGCAGATTCAATTATATTATTACTCGCCTTTTTCAGACTCGATTGTCATCAAGGCACAACGACTCTTGCCTATTAAGTTCATGTGTGTGATACAGCATCTTCAAGTGCATAAGAAGCTTCCAAGACGTCACTATTACCTTCCCAAGTTGACGAGATACAAGGCACACCTCACTTGCCTAACTTGGACCGATTCTACACTTAATGGTCCAACATCCATATTTTCATTAATTGTTGCGATTTGTATCTTCTTTATAGGTTTAGAACGTGTGTACTCAGCCTATATAAGCTGATCATTAGTCTCATTGTAAAAACACCCTTGATCAATTAAAAGAAATAGAAAGTTTTTCTTCTTGTCAAAGTTTGAGTCTTTGTCAATCTTCTTCTTTAGTTCTTTGTGAGTGAGTCACTTAGTTCTTTAGAAACCTGCGGATTAAGTTTGTTGTGTGATTCAACAACCTTCATTCGTCCATTGATCGAGTGAGTCGATTATCCCACCGATTGAGCGAGTCAATCACCTGTACTATCCCATGTACCACCCACTGATTCACGAGAGAGTGCTTCTGGCCAGCTCGTGAATTCCACCTTCCGCAAGTTAAGCTTGGAATCTCTTGATCATCAAGTGATCTAAAGTTTGGAGTGATTCCAATCTTGCATCAGAAAATCTTCCAGATATATACAATTGGAAGGATGACCACAAAGAGCCTTCATGGAGAGCGAGAACACCAACATAGTGAGAGCACCAGAGTTGTAGATGAGAAGAAACAACCAATAGATCTCGCTGGTGTTAGACCCAACCCGGCGGAAACTAACAAAAGGTTCTTTGGATCTACTTGGGTGGATCCGAGAAAGGTTAGAAAAGCTTCAGTCATGCAGCAAGGAGACCAAAGGAGAGACGTCGGGGGTTAAAAGCCATCATCATGTTTTGCTGAGGTTAAGTTGAGCAATGTTGGTCACGCGATCCTGCTTCTCACATCCAAAGGGAGCTGGCAACTAATGGTAGCAATAACAAAAGGTAATTTATCAACCCTATTGATCTTGATCTATTTGTTGTTAAATTTTCTTTATATCAATGTTTTCTTAGCTTTTGATTAGGTAAAGATATAGGTTCAATGGGTTGTTAGGTGGCTAGTTTGTTTGTAATAAATGTTTTTGATTAATGCTTGAATCTATTTTGTAGCTAGTTGTTCACTTTGAATATGTTTTGTACCTATTTTCATAGTGATAAATGCTTGTGTGTGTACTGGTTTCGTTGGATATAGATTAGATTACTGTGATAAATGCTTGTGTGTAATGCTTATGTCTGTCTACATCATACTTATGTGTGTACTTGCTAGGTTTAGGTAAATGCTTGTGTGTGTACTTACTAGGTTTAGATAAATGCTAAGTTGGTGATTGCTAACATTAACTAACAAGACTGACCACAACTTGTAGTTTCATTTAACAATAATCTGTTATAACCGCCTAAAAAACATACATTCCTTATCTTTGTCTATAAAACGCCACAAGTTATGGATGATGCTAGTCAATCTACTAGTTATAAAAATCGTTAGATCTTCTATCTTATAGATATTAAAAAGAAACATTGTGATTTTTATTTATTTTTACGTGTTATTTTTATTTATAATTATTTTAGCTAATTGGTTTTATTTTATTTTTAGTTTTGAAATTATCGAAACTAACTAATTATAAAAATCAATGCATTGAATATATATACAAAATATTTTTATATTTTATATATTTTATATATTTTATATATTTTATATATTTTATATATTTTATATATTTTATATATTTTATATATTTTATATATTTTATATATTTTTAATTATACAATATTATAAATGATTCAATAACATAATTTTCTAAATATTAAAAAACTAAAAACAAATTTGAATATTTATATTGGTCAACGCCGGTCAAACTGGTCAACGCCAGATTCCGGCGAAAAATGTACCAGAAAAAAAGTTTGTGATGTTGGCGACATGACTACATATAGTTCGTATATGTGGGCATGCGATGCATATAGTTTGTGTAGTTAGGGATACATTTTTAAACTTCGGATGTATGTCCATGTATTATAACATACTTCGTGTAACTATGTATCTTTTTCCATTTTAAATCTCTTAAAGAGTCAAAAAGCTTTTTGGAATGAGAGTCAACCAATTTTGTTTGGGAATTTAGGTTGGAATGAGAGTCAACCAATTCAGTTTGGGAGTTTAGGTGGGGATGAGAGGTATCAAACTGAGTTTCCAAATCAGTTTGATTGTGAGGATCCAAGCCTAGATGAAGCTCAACATAAGGAGCATATAGAAAGAAGGAAGTGGTAACACATATAAGACTTGGTGCTCATCTCTGTTTGGCTCAACACCAGTAAGGATGCTATTGTTAGGAATGAGCAAAAAGGCAATGCCTTTTCGGATCAGATTGCATCTTATTATGCTGCAATTCCTAAGCTTGTTAGTGTGGCTAAGAGAGGTCCCAATCTCTGTAAAAAAGGTGGAAGAAGATCAACGAGATGGTATGCAAGTTTGTTGGAAGTTTTGAGGCTGTATCAAAACAGAAATCAAGTGGCCAGGGTGATAATGATGTCATGACCTTGGCATACAAGATCTTCTACAATGATCACAAGGTGAATTTCACCTTAGAGCATGCTTGGAGGGAGCTTACGTATGATCAAACCTAGTTTACCCATTCATCTACTTCAAATAAAAGAGCGTCAAAGAAAAGAAAGTTTGATGACATGACTTCACAATCATCAAGCTCTTTTCCAGTTAGCCATGAAAAGGAAGAAGCTAGGTCTGCGAGTATTCAAGCAGCAACAAACCCAAAGGTAAAGTGACTGTGAACCAGCCAAACCCAGTGCATCAAGAAGGCAAGCCTCTTGAGGAGTTTGAAGCCATGTGGGAGAAAGAAGGATTTGGCAGCTAAGAATAAGCTGATGAAGGGGAAGTTGCGCGCTGGACAGTCTTCTTGGCAAAACAGAGCCACTTTCTTAATATTTGATAATGATATGTTATGTTTGTATTGATCTTCATGTTTTACGTTTATGTGTTGATCTTTATAAGTCTAGAAGTTGTATATTAAATGCTAGAATGAATCTCTTATATATTAAAAGAGAAGTACAAAAGTGAAATGGGGGGGTCAATTGAAGATTTTTAACCCGGAAATTGTAATTGGATATTTTAAAATTGGATATTTAATTGGATTTAGATATAAATCGGATACTTTCCCAAGGGATTATATTATTTTCATATCTCGGATTTTCTAATACTACTCTAACTAAAAAAAAAATTGAAATAAAATATTATTCTCCTTCCATCTTTATTTGATATTATTTTTAATTTAATATATTACAATATATAATACAAATGTAAAATAAAAATTCAACATTATTTTAACATATGTTGCAATTTGAATTTTTTAAAGCGGACATATATTTATCGATTGAAAAAAAAATGTATGTACAACGTCCCAAATCGTGTAAAATATTTATTGACAATAGTTCAGATCTTTATAAATAAGATAAACATCTTTCGAACTACGAATAAGCAGTAAACTTGATTTATATATCACACATCCAAATTAAAAACTTCGATTTGGTATAATCCCGTTCTAAGTTTGAGAACACTAAAACTTTTTAAAAGGTTCAAAATATTTTAATAGTTAAAATTTATAATGTATAAAATTATAAATAAGAAATCGGTAAAAAGTTTAAGATTTATTAAATTTTCAAAATATTATAATAATGAAACTTTTAAAGGTTCATATATTATCAATATTAGAACTATTAAAAGGTTTAAATATTATAAATATATAAAATATTTGATAATTATGCAACGTATGAGAACATATATTAAAATTATTGATAATTTTGCAACAGGTGAGAACATGGTACACATCACTTAAGTTTTACAACTAAATACTTTGTAATACCTAATCTTACATAAATATGATTTCAAATTATATGGAAATATTCTTCTGCGATGTAGCACAGATCCAAAATCACAATTTTATTTCAAAAACAAATAGTAGTGAAAATATTACACTGCATTTGTTACTTTATATAGGTCTAAAACCTATATAATATAATATATTTGTTAATCTTTCTCGATTACCGATACAATATGTCCTCTAAAACATCTAACACCGACTTCGACGATCATTTTTTCATGATGTCATTTACTTCAAAACAAAAAACAAAAAAAACTAGAAATTTTCTCCCGCGTTATAACGCGGATCCGATCATAATTAAGTCTTTATAAGTCTTGAACTTTGTATGAATTGAATATGATTTTGAATGAATCATGAATGAATCCAATTTTTAAGTTTGAATGAATGAATCAGTTTTGATATCTCTTAAACTTATGAATGAATAGAATCTGATTTTGAACTTCGAATGCATGAAACAGTTTAGATATGTTTTAAACTTTGAATCCATGGATCAGTTTTTGATATGCTCTTTGTTCACTGATTTTAGGTTTGAACCAAAACATACTCATCGTGGGAACCAAAGTATGACAACAATACACAATTTGAGTGTGTATCAAGTTATACACTCATGTAATACAATTTTTTTAAATCTTAAAAACTTCATTGTAAATACTTACCATTGGACTTGTTTAAAATAAACAACTTTCACAGTTTCTTAATTTAAACTTTTTCTTTATTTTGGTTATAGATATGGTTTAGAATCCTTAACCATTGGAGCGGCTCTTATTTTGGTTAAGGATTCTAGACCATCGGAGCTGCACTTATTGTTTGGAATTTGTGTCACTAATTTACAAACACACGTAATAAAAACAATTTTTGGTAAAGTTTGCCATATGGCAAATATGAAATTTTGCAATCGACAAATGTAATTCGTTTCCAATACTAACCAACAAAAAGAGTCGAAATTTCCAAAACATTTACCAATTACATAAAGCCCCAAAAATATCAGTTAGCTAAAGTTAGATTTAGGCGTCATCCAAGGAAGATCCTCCCCAACCAAATCATCAGCAATCATCTCTTCCGCTTCTATAGCCGACCGGATTCTCAGCAAAGGCTTCTTCGCCGGAAGAACTGGTAAGGGTGCCTCCCCACGTATAATCCTCACAGCTTCCTTTACCTTTGGCCGCTTCTCACAGTCAGCATGCGTACAAACCATCCCAACCATCAACACCCTTTCCATTTCCTCTGCATCAAAGTCTTCCTTCAGCATAATGTCAGCACCAGTCAGAAACTTCCCTGTCTCCCAGAGGTTCCACATAAAGTCTACAAGCCCCGTCCCGTCATTCCCCACAGCCATACGCCCCGTACACACTTCAAGAACCACCACACCGAAGCTGTACACGTCGGTTTTTTCAGAGGGCACACCTGTGTACACGTATTCAGGTGCCAAGTAACCCATAGTACCTGCTGGGAGTGTAGCTGCTCGTCCAGATAGCAACGCATTGTGCTCATAAATCTCAGCTAACCCGAAATCACCAAGTTTTGCGTTAAACTCACTATCAAGCATTATGTTACATGTCTTGACGTCACGGTGAATGATCTGTCTCTCACATTCTTCGTGTAGATAAGTAAGTGCAGAAGCAACACCTAGAATGATGTTTACCCTCTGTTTCCAAGAGAGAACTATGAACTCTTCTGATGGATCAGATGAGGGTTTCTTATGTAGAAACTCACTTAAACTTCCGTTTGGCAAGTACTCAAACACTAGTGCCGTCTCTGTTCCTTCACTACACCAACCCTGGAACTGAACAAGATTCTTGTGCCTCAAGTAACCAGTCATTGTTGTGAACTCTGTTGTGAAAGGGTTACGGTTACACTGTGGCCAATGCTCTCTATCAAAACGCTTTACGGCTACAGATCCAATGGAAGGAATAGAGCCTCTGTACACAGTAGCTGAAGCTCCTTGACCCACGATTGTGTTCTCATTGAATCCCAATGTTGCGGATTTGATCTCAGCCAAGGATAACCTTCCCGGCATCCGAGTAAGCCCTGTGTCAGCTCCTTCTTCAGTAATCTTCTTCTTGCCAACAATCAATGAGAAAACAATAAACCCCACAAGAACAACAATTGCAGCCAAACCAGGTAAAAGACTCCAAAACGGGATCTTGAATCCAACAACTGAAACCCTAAAGCCAAAACCTTTAGGTCGAATCGGATTCCTTGAAACTTCTTCCTCCTCTTCCTCACTATCCTCTTCTTGAATAGCATCAGAATGAGACGCAAAGGTTGTAAATTTCCACCGCTCAACGATATGTAAAGCTGACCCACCAACACTAGCAGCAGCATTAGAAGCAGAGAAACCAACGTGCATATACTCTTTGACTTTACCAGAGAGATCAATCTGTGTTGCTAAAATAGGACTTGTCGGCTTAACACGTGAATAACCAACCCAAACCCTAATGAGTTTAAGAACATCACTATACTCAATCCACGCCATCATCTCTCTACCACTCTTAAGATCAAACCCTTTTGATAGCGCATCAACAGAGGAAACAGAGAAGACTGAGTTAACATCGATACCAACGTGGTTATCGTTAATATCACCATGACCCGGGTCAAATCGTGTATCGAACTCGACGGCGATGAAGGAATCATGCGGATTTGGTAAACCCAAGAAGCCATTAGAGAAGACGAAGGAGTCAGCATTGGATGTGATCAAGAAAGCGAAGCCGTCACCGAAAGGGCAAGAAGGTGAAGCGATGATTGAGAAAGAAAAGCGGCAAGAGAAAGAAGCGGTTGTGTTTGTTGAAGGTTCGGAGAACTTGATTGGGTAAACGTATAGAGCTCGTCCGATGCCGGAGGAAGATGGGTTTGACGGCGGTGTTGTGGCGGAGGGAAAACAGGGTTGTTGTCGTGTGAGGGAGATTGTACGGTCTCGGAAGTATGCGTCGCCGTAGAGCGTTAAGTTGTGCAGTGGCGGCGAGAAACGGTGAGAAAGTGTGGGAAAATCTTGGGAAATGAAGAGGATTAGGTAGAACAAGAAGAGACAAGGAAGAGAGTGATGATGATGATTCATCTCTGTTCTTGTGTCATGTGGTTTGTGTTAGTTTCTTGGAAGTGATCTTTTGGTTCAAATCGTTTTGTAATGGAAACTTAAAAGGGAAAATTCCATAAAAATTCCTCAACTAATTTTAATTTAGAAGTTTAATACCCAATGTTATTTGATTGGAAATAAAATACATGGTTTAAAAAATTTTGGTCTATTAATACATTACGTACATAAAAATTGTCGAATCGATTAAACCGTTTAATTGGATTGACGGATTCACTAAACCGGGGTTAATGGAATTACACTAAACTTAGGTTTTATCGATCCCAATTTGTTTTGGGGTAATAGCAAAGGACAGAGTAGTCTTTGGATAACCTCAAATTACCCATGTGTTTAGGGATTAGTGATTTCGTCAACTTCGGTTTAGTGATTCCGTCAATCCGATTAAGCGGTTTATTCGATTCGACAATTTTTATATACTTAATGTATTAATAGACCAAAATTTAATAAACCATGCATTTTATTTCCAATCAAATAACATTGGGTATTAAACTTCCAAATTAAAATTAGATGGAGATTTTTTATGGAATTTTCCCAAACTTAAAAGAAGATAAATTTTATAACTGCTTTGCTTATAGAAACAAAAGTAAATTACTTTTACAAAATCATAAAAGGAAAACAAATCTTAGAATGAAGTAATGAACAAAGCTTTCACTATCTTGCAAAGTAACCTCTTAGTACCAAGCTTGGAATTTGGATAAAGCTTGTCTGTATAACAACTCACAGGGGTAAAGCTCTCTATCTCTTTATATCGTTGTTCATCGGACCATACAAAAAGCCAAACTCAAGAACCCGTATCAATGTTGGTTTCAGAATCTTCTGTCCTCTTCAAATATTTCATTTAAGATTGTAAGTCTGATCACAGTTTCGAATGCAACATAAACAATCCTTTGAGAAACAGTGGCTGTAAAAAACTCGAGACCCCGTGCTTCGCGTAAAACCAATGCAACGTCCCTCTTTTAGTATCTAACTCGCAGTTTCAGTAACACAAGAATACACCGCAACACCAAGTTTGTTTAGCTCCTTAATTCATGTGTGTATCTGTCATTAGCCTAGTTTTGAAAACATCTGATATAGCAGATATAGCATAGCCAACACTCCACAACAAAGGGTCAAGATGGTTCTGTTGCATTTTTCACCAAAACTGTTGCTTTCAACTATTCAAACAACAGGTAACTTAATATCCCAGCCAGTCAGTTCCTCATTAATGTAGAAAAAAATTATAAATCAACAGAACTCCCAATTGCTATGTATCCAAAACTGAAGTGTATCAGATACAAAGGCACATGATTCTACAGCCAAAAATGACATGAGATTGAAGGAAAGCATGGCAGTCTATCAAGACAGAATCTGAAAGAAATCGAATAAGATTGAAAACAAACTAGATAAAGCCAGAATGAAAATGCAGCAAAAGTGAATTATTTTTTGAAACAACTCAGGTTTTGAGAATAATCTGGTCCCTGAAACAACCCAACAATGTTAAAGAGTAATGCTTCTTTGGAAAAGCTCTATCTCTCTCTTTGTTCATCTGACAATAGCACAACCAAACACAAAAAAAAGCATCAAGTTTAGTTTCAGAATCTTCTTTCCTTTTCAAATATTCATTCAAGACTGTAAGCCTGGCAGTCTCAAATGCAAAATAACCGATCGCTGAGAAACAAGCGCTGTGAAGAACTCGAGGTCCCATGCCACGAGTAAAACCAACCAAACCTTCCTCTTTTAGTATCTGACTCACTGTCCCAGCTACACCAGAATACATAGCAGCACCAATTTCGTTCACTGTCTCCACATGAATCTGCATCATCAGCCTAGTCTTCACAACATCTAACGGTGTAGTTATCTAAGCAGATATCGCACCAGCCAACGCGCCACAACAAACACTCTGCAAAGGCTCAAGCTGACTTTAAAACGCAACGTGAATTGAAGTTTCTTTTTATGATAATAAAGTTTTATTTTGTAATATTTCTTATTTTCTAAAATTTGTTTCCTTGTTTACAAATCAACATTTTATTTCTTTTATTTATCGACATTTTGTGTCGACTTTGTAAACTTTGCTCTAAATGATACAACGCAAACTCACATACCGTCTCGTGTTATGGGGGCTTTTATTGATTTATGCCATAAGACAAGATTCTCTAACGTAGAAAATGCTTTCTATAGTATCTACTATCTAGTCTTATCCCATTTGATTTATTTAGTACTTAGATATGTCGAGAGGTGATAAGAAATTTGATAGCTTCAGCTCTAAGTTCCATACTCACGCATCAAACCAGGAAAGCATAAGCGCAGAAAAAGGTTTACTTTACATTAAAATCAATTTTCATTTTTTTGATTCTATGTTTAAACTAATTTTTGGAAATGGTCAACTTCTATCTTACTTGAGTTTGACTCAAATCTTTACAATAGATTTTCTCCAACAATTCAATATACCTTTATTATTTTCTATTTGCTATTTTGATTACAAAATATATTTTCAGAAGTTTAAATTACGATCAATAAGGAAAAAAAAATCATCTTTATTAGAATTTTCATCTTCCTCTTTTTCTGAAATTGGCTTCTCATCGAACAGCCAAGGAACTACGTACGTTTCCGACAAGCTATCATAGGCAATAAAAGTGTTGTTGGTTTTAGAGAAGTCACCAAGGATTTCTCTTTTTCTGCTTGTAAGGTTTGTTTAGGAATCCTGAGAGTCATCTGTTTCTCACCATAAACCACTCTCAATCTTTATTAAACAAACGTAGTCCATATATATATTGTTCCATCATCTTTATATATATTTAAACCGGAGTCTATGGTTAAACAAACGTGAAACCTATAACGTTTCTAATATTATTTTTTTTCCTTGTTTCTTTTGTATTGTGTAGCTTATATTGTTCCATCACCTTCTATCTCACTAATCAAATCACATGTAAGTCCTTTTTTTCTTCAATTTTTTTTTGAAACTTTTAATTACTTAAATAATTAATGTTATCATATATGACTAAAATAAACTATTTATGTCCAATACAAAGGTTGTCGGACAAAGAAGAAATCGAAACTGCGAGAGAACAACTCAAGGATGAAGATTTGGATACAAAAATAATGCATTTGTTGGTGATGATGATTCGATTAGCACAAGTATTGATTGCAAATCAATATGTAAAACAGAAAGTTTACATCGAGTATCCAATCCGACGACCTATCACAAGAATTGGATACGATTATATATACAATATATTACGAAAAGATTCGGGGCATTTTCGACAGTTATATCGTATGTATCCAGATGTGTTTCTCAAGCTATGTCAACTTTTACGAGATACGACGCACCTAAGTGATACAAGATTCACCTGTGTTAAAAAAATAGTTGCCACCTTTTTAATCACTGTTGGCCAAAATTCAAGGTACGGTCACACTACAGACACTTTTGGAAGATCAAAATTTGCTACAAGTACAAATTTTCATAAGGTTTTAAAGGCAATAAATACAATTGCTCCAAGTTTGATGGTCAAACCTAACCTTATGGTAGGTTCAAAAATAAGAGAGTACAAGATTTTATCATTATTTCAAGGTATGTATTTCAAGGTATATATATGTCTGTATAAATTTTTTTAGAGAATATTGCCAGAATGGGCATTATTTGAGTAAGCACTTCGGAAATGGGTATTTGTTACAGTGACCAAATTCTGTAGATGAAACTTTTGCACTTTCAGACGATTTTATCCTCAGAGAATTTTGGAGCTGAGTTTTGTAGTGGGCTATGATGTCATGGTGTTGATTAAATAAATTACGATTAATGAACAAAATATGTGGATGCTAGCAATTGCTAAATTGATAATTGTGTGGACAAGAAATAAGTTACAGAGTTTGGTTTGGTTAATTAAACACTAGTAAATCGTAAATAGAAATTCCAAATATAATATTTTAACTACTTTACAATATAATCATAATATAAGTGAGAAAACACTAAACCCTAGTCAAGAACTAGTAAACCCAAACTGATTAATAAAAAATTGGTTATTCATGAAAAAATATTATATAGAAGAAAACTAAACTTTAGTAGATCGTAAATAAAAAACTCAAATATAATGTTTTAACCAAAAAAAACTTACCTTACGTTATATATAATGATAGTAATATATATGAGAAAATTACTAAACCTTAGTTAATATAAAATTAGTTATTCAAATTCTTTCATGGATAAAACGAAATCGTATAAGATCGTAATGTAAATAAGAAACCTAAACAAAAAGAGCAATATTTGGGTTAGGGGTGAACATTTCTTATTCACTTCCTCTTAATTAATCAATCCAAATACAATATTATGCCATGTCATATTATAATTAAAAAATAAATCAAAATTAAAATCATAAAATAAAACAAAACTTAATCATTTTTTATAAACCAAAATCGAAATATAATTTCGTTTAGTTACAATATCTAAACCCTAACCACTATTTTATTAACTCAAACCAAAATATAATATCATCCCTACTATAGTAAAAGAGAAGTACACAAAGGATTCAGGTCGGGTTTTGCAAAAAATTCCGGGTTAAAAATTCAATCGGATACTTGCCAAATTTTTTGTTAAATATTTTCCAAATATATCAATAATATACACCATATATCTATCATTTAGGAAACTATATTAATGTTACATTATTATATTTTAGAAAATATATTAATGCTAAATAAAAAATATGTCTTATAAGGAAAATTTGTTAATGAATATAAAGATCTCAATCTTTTAAAAATAATCTAACTAGTATATTAATTTCTTATATGAATAAAACAAAAAAATATAATTTTTTATAAGTTTAAATCTTTGATATATGGAAAAATGTAATTTAAAAATATTTGGTATAACAAATATAAAAATGCATCTAAAATATTTGGTATAATCAATAAAAATGTTAATTAGTTTGAATTAGTTAAATGTTTCGAAAAATAAAATTTGAATATATATATATATATATATATGGCTATAA